TTTCCTGGAAGACAGCCTGGAATATGGTGGCAAATACTACCGAATGGCAGAGGACTGGAATTTTCCACAAAGAGGTGATTGATAACCTTGGTGAAAGCAGTCAGTAGAGTGGGGGAGGGCAGAGACCAGGTTATCATAGGCCAAAGAGTAAATAATAAGAAAAGCTGTAATTTTTCTATTATCACATTTATTGGGGGGACAAGTACCATAAGTATCATAATCCCCGTTTAAGGTATGAGAAAGCCAAAGTCACATTGCTAATATATGGCAAAATCCTCCTGACCCTTCCACCAGTGATACATTGAAGAATTCTCTCCGCTAGCATGGTGGCTCATGCCTGTAATCTCAGCACTTTGGGAGGCTGAGGCAGGAGGATTGCTTGAGGCCAGGAGTTTAAGACCAGCCTACGCAACATAATAAGATCTGTCTCTATGCAAATAAAATAAAATAAAAATAAATTAGCCAGGTGTGATGGCAGATACCTGTAGTCTCAGCTAATCAGGAGGCTGAGGCAGGAGGATCACTTGACACAGGAAAGAGGTCAAGGCTGCTGTGAGCCATGATCACACCATGGCACTCCAGCCTTGGGAACACAGTGAGACCCTGTCTTTAAAAAAGACATTCACCTACATTCATTACTTTTTCTGAAAAGAGTTCTGATAAATTCAGTTTTTGATACTTCATTCCATTTCCAGTGATATTCTTGAATCCCTTATGATTGTGGTGCTCCAGCCGGCTTCCCAGCAGGGATGCTCCTTCATTTGTTTCTGCCTAACTCACCTCACCCCCCACTGCCTTGGGTAAGGCCTTAGAAAGAGAACTGACAAATTAAAGTGAGACATTCTTTCATTCATTCCCTAGCTATTTACTGAGCTTCTTATAAGAGCTTCAGCTACCTGGTCAGCATTCTTAGACGTCAATGGACAACCAACTTGTCATGGTAGTTTTACATGTGAAGTCAGCACTCCACAAGCAAAAGAAAATCTACCTTAGCTTCCTAGAGACAGGGGAGCCCTACCCAAGGTCGAATAGAGCACAGTAAAATCCAGCAACTGCAGCATCAACAAATGAGGCAATCAGAGTAATCACTGAGCAGTGATTAATAGCAACATCTCTTCTTGAGTCTCAGACATGAAGCTATAGATAGGTAGCTATTCCTAGCTCTAACTCTATTTTAATGTATTTGGCCTTCAGTCAATCAATTCACCTTCCTCTGACAGACTCCCGTGCAGAAGTTTCTTGGGTAGGGTTTGCCCTGGGGGTGCAACCCACTTCAGACCTGCTTGAGCTGCACAGAGTGGCCACATGGTGTCGTAGTCACTCTCTGGCTTTGGAGTCAGACAGCCTGCATGTGGAGCTCAGCTCTGATGTTAACTACGTGAATTGGAGCAGATTAGTTTTTTAACCTTTTCCACCCTCGGTTTCCTCATCTGAAAAAAAAAGGCAAGGGATAATATCTACCTCGTAGTATTACCGTAAGTATAACAGGAAGAAAAAGATGCAATGCAAAAAATGACTCCCGTATTTCTTCATTCTAGGGTGGAGCAGGATTTATCACAGAGGCGCTTCAGTCATTTGTTGAGAAACAAACACTTTGTTTAACTTTTTTGGTTAAGAAATGCAGCTGAGGATCCAATTATCAGCTCCTACTCTGATCTCAGAGTGAGAATACCCCAGAACGGAGATTTTTGCTCAAAAGAGTTAAATTTCCTTTTTGTCATAAAATAACAGTAATCAGATATTTTCAGGGAGAGGTAGAGGGAAGTAGAGAGAGGGAGAGGAAGAATTGGGGAAACGGAGAAATGGCTGCAGGCAGGGCTCTGGGAGGTGGAGCAGCCAGGGAAAACATTCTGGGCATGCTAGTGTGATGATTCTCCAAGTGATGCTGTAACGATCCTATGTTGCCCTGACCTTTAGTAAAAGGAAGCATGCAAAATGACCTTATGTCCTGGGAGTCTTTGGGGAAACAAGAAAGGAAGGGGCCTGCTTGCTGTGAATGAGAGTGATGGGATAAGAGCACAACATTGTCAGGAGGCAGGTGAAAGTGCCTGAGTTCAGCTGGAGCAGGAATTCATAAGGAAAAGTGATCACATAAGGAAGAGTTCATCCCTCAAGAGTTTTTGGAAATCTTGGGCTTGGTGTGGTGGCTCACACTTGTAATCCTATAACTTTAAGAGGCCAAGGCAGAAGGATCACTTGAAGCTCAGAGTTCGAGATCATCCCGAACAATAAAGCAAGACATCATCAAAAAAAAAAAAAAAAAAAAAAAAAAAAAAAAAGGAAGGAAGAAAGAAAGGAAGGAAAGAAAGAAAAGAAAAGAAAAGAAAGAAAGAAAGAAAGAAAAGAAAAGAAAGGCAAAGAAAAGAAATTAGCTAGGCATGGTGGCTTGCACCTCTCACCCAGCTACTCAGGTGGCTGAGGTGGGGGGATCACTGGGACCCAGGAGTTTGAGGCTGCAGTGAGCTATGATTGGACAATAGAGCAAGACTCTGTCTCAAAGGAAAAAAAAAAAAAGGCTATCGTGAGAAAACATGGACTTTCCAGACTTGGGTTGTTAATGAAACGTGATTCAAGAAGGCTGGTAAAAATTAAGTTACGGCTGGGCATGGTGGCTCACACCTGTAATCCCAGCACTTTGGGAGGCCGAGGCAGGTGGATCACAAGGTCAGAAGTTTGAGACTAGCCTGGCCAAGATGGTGAAACCCCGTCTCTACTAAAAATACAAAATTTAGCTGGGCGTGGTGGCAGGTGCCTATAATCCCAACTACTTGGGAGGCTGAGGCAGGAGAATTGCCTGAACCTGGGAGACAGAGGTTGCAGTGAGCCGAGATCATGCCACTGCGCTCTAGCCTGGGTGACAGAGCAAGATTCCACCTCGAGAAAAAAAAAAATTAAGTTACATAAAGATTAAATGAGAGAATGTACATAAAGCAATTAGTTCAGAGCCCAGTTATTAATAAGCATTCAACTTAAAGTAGCCCTTATTATTATGACTTAGGATTCAATTTCCTCTTTTCTTCACTCCTTTTTCTTCAAGGGCTCACAATCTACTTAAAAAATTTGATATAGTCATTCATTTATTCTACAAACATTTATCAAATTATTTTGATGTGTTAGGTAAGTGAAATAATTTCAGGCAGTAGTAATTGTCATAGCTAATGTTTCTGAGGGCTTAGTACATACTAGGTACTATGCTAAGTGCCTACATAGTTTTTTAAATTTAATCCCCAACGGTCCTAGGGAGAAACAATTATATTTCACTTTACAGATGAGGTTAGAAAATAAGGCACAGCGAGGTCAAGAGACTTGCCGCAGATCACACAGCTAGCCAGTGGGAAAGCCAGGGTTTGAACCCAGGCTGTTAGATTTCAGTGCATGCTTTTAAGCTCCACACTACATTATTTTTTATTAAATTTTTTTTTCTTTTTGTGTCTTCTCTTGCTTGTTTCCCAGCTATATTATTTTTTAATGCAACTGACAATGTGTGTGAGTTATGGTACACAGAGCCAGAGGGATCATGAGGGAAGGACCATCATGGGGACGTAGTCCTAGAATGAGCGGGGTTTTCTTGCCTTCTTTCCCTTCGAACCTCATATTTCCTTTCCAGCTCTAAGCTCTCAAGATGGAGTGGCAGTAGGATCCTAACACTTTTTTCTGTCCAGAACTGTTCCTCAGCTGGCTTGGGTTCTTCCATTCTGCCTGTGTCTACCCTTAGCAAGGGGAAGAACAAGATGGAAGCGAACGGAAAGGCCTGATTGAACCAGCCAATAGATAATTAGAAGCTGACTATTTCGCAATAATGCAGCACAACAGCGATAAATAAATCAATCACTTGGGGGGTGGGGAATGACTTTCCTATAATCAGCTATTAAAGTCTTGTACCACTAATTAGTCTATTAATTAGAACTGTTCTCTTCCTTTCACACGTTATCAGCCTGCCAAGGCAGAGAAAACTCATCCCCGGGGGCAGGAGATAAGAGAAGGAAGACACATCGAAGTGGCAAATTCAAACAGCTGGGCTTGTGTGTGTTTTAAAAGCACAGTTCTTAGTGCCCGGGGCATATCCACCTGCTAGCAGGAAAAGAACGTTTATCAAAAACCAAAGGGCTGTTGTCTTTGTTGAGCAGAAAGGGGAAAAAAAGATTTAATCTTTAAAGAGAAAAACCACTCTAACCACACTCGGGGATCTGTGAAGGGCAGTTCCACTGGGTGTTCCCTAGAGCACAGGACACAGTGAGAAACAAACATGCTTAGTGCCAAGGCAGCATAATCAGAAGACCCGGGGGCAGAGGCGCTCTGCTCCTACTATGTGCCTGGCACCGCCTCCGTTCTTTATGTTTGTAATATCTTGTCTGATGATTTCATCTATGTTCTCAGATGCCCTTGAGTTATTTCTGGGAGTTCCCAAAAAGGGACCTCATATGAGCCCTCACAGCTGTGGTCACTGAAAGATGCTCTGCTCTGCCTCTCCTGTTGTGGCTCTCAGTGGGTCGTGCTCCCTGCCCACCAAGAGCTTGGGAAAACCTCTCATCACCATGTCTGACCTTGTTTTGCAAGCTCAAAGGGCTCTGCCTGGGCCCAGAAACTTACAAGTCATTCTTGAAGGGTTCCAACAAGGTCTGAGCCCCACAGCCATCTCCATATCCCTAACAAATACACACAGAGAAATACCACAACCTTCATACTCCTTTACTGACTTTTCCAGCTCCTCCAATCTGCTCTGTCCTCCTCTAGTTACTAAGTGGACATTCCCCTGCACTCCCATGAAAAATAGCAGACATGGGGTGCGGTGTTGGGGCAGGTGTCTCCATGGGCAACAGCTGTTAGGTTATCTTGCTTTATCCTCGCCAACAGCCATGAGACGGGCTATCAATTCCATTTTGCAGATTGGGGCAACTGTGGCTCAGAGAGGTTAAGTAACTTCGCCAGGCTTCCCTGGGCTGTGACAAAGCTCTTGGTAAGAGCTCAGTAAACATTTGCTGATGGACAGAAGTGAAAATATGGAGGAAATGGAAGCTCTCCAGCTTCTGAGAAGCTCAGAGCCCGTGGGGGTCCTGTCAGTCGAGATGGCCCCATTCCAGTAAAAGAAGGGGCACAGGGAGGAGTACAGGGTCAGATCCAAGGTCAGTTTTACCCCACTCCATTCTTTCCTATCCTGATAACTGTTGTATACAGTCCATTTTCTACCAGCAACTCACTCTGTACCCTGTGCCCCAACAAGCACACACACACACACACACAAAAAAAAACACTTCAGAAGTGGTCAGGGTGACATTTATGAGCTGCATGATCCTCAGGATGTCAACATGTACATGTCCCAACATTAATACCTAATTTGGGGATGGAGAAAGGAGCAGTGGTGATGTGGCTGAGAGAGTCTGGGCTTGGAACCCAGTGTCAGGCCTCTGTTCCTTGGTGACCTGCGGGGTGACCTTAGGCAAATTGCTTTACCATGTCTGTCTTCAGTTTCCTTATATGCAAAGTGGGAAATGTCAGATATCTATTCCAAATGTTATTGTGAGGATCTAGTGAAGTAATACAATACTTCACACACACACACACACACGTAGAGAGAGAGAGAACTTTACAAAATACTTTTTTACACATATTATCTCTGGCCACCTTCAGAGCAACCCTAATTATTCTTATTTTCATTTTTCAGATAAGGAAATAAAAATCTCAGAAAGACTGAAATTCACTTGAAAACAGTGAGTTGCGCTATTATTAAAAAGCTGCAGGCCGGGCGCGGTGGCTCAAGCCTATAATCCCAGCACTTTGGGAGGCCGAGGCAGGTGGATCACTGGTCAAGAGATCGAGCGAGACCATCCTGGTCAACATGGTGAAACCCCGCCTCTACTAAAAATACAAAACATTAGCTGGGCATGATGGCGCGTGCCTGTAATCCCAGCTACTCAGGAGGCTGAGGCAGGAGAATTGCCTGAACCCAGGAGGCGGAGGTTGCGGTGAGCCGAGATCGTGCCATTGCACTCCAGCCTGGGTAACCAAAGTGAAACTCCGTCTCAAAAAAAAAAAAAAAAAGCAGCAGGCCCGTCACACCCTATCTGACTTTTAGATTACGAAGCACTGCTGCATTTACCCCAGAGTCTCTCATCTGGGGTATGTGTCATATTCAAAGCTTTAATTCATTTAATAAATATTTATGTGTTCCCATTTGGCACCAGGTATTGTGCTAGGCATTAAGGATACTATCGCTCAGGTACTAGTGTGGCAAGGAAAGCAGACCTCATATAAGAACAATAACAATATTGTGTTTTTCATATTATAGCAGAGGAAGGGCCAGGTGGTGCAGGAGGAGACAGTCGGGAGACCTGAGGAATAGGGAGAACAGTCTCAAAAAGCCGGGGAGGGCCAGGCTCGGCGACTGACGCCTACAATCCCAGCACTATGGGAGTCTGAGGCAGGCAGATCGCTTGAGCTTAGGAGTTGGAGACTAGCCTGGGTAACACGGCAAAACCCTGTCTCTGCAAGAAATACAAAAATATTTGCTGGGCATGGTGGCGCACGCCTGTAGTCTCAGCTACTCAGGGGGCTGAGTTTGGAGAATCACTTGAGCTGGGGAGGTCGAAGCTGCAGTGAGCTGATACCACACCACTGCACCCCCAGTAACACTGACAAAGTGAGACTCCGTCTCAAAAAAAAAATGGGGGAGAATTTTTATGAAGGTGGAGAGAGACATGGCGTTTAGTATGAGTGAAGCATACAGGTAAGAGTGGAGGCTATGCCAAGAGAAGAGGCTGGAGAGTCAGTTTGGCCAAGATCTAGGAGGCTTTGTGAGCCAGGTGAAAGAGTTTGGACCTCATCTTTAGACCAGAATGAAGTTACATAAGAGTTTTACATAGGGAAGGGATTGATATGTTTTGGAGATCCTTCTAAATGGGGTATTGTCTTAGTCCAACCTGCTATAACAGAGTGGTTTAACAACATTTATTTCTCACCATTGTGGAGGCAAGGAAGTCTAAGGCATCAGCTGATCTGTGTCTAGAGAAGGTCTGCTCCCTGGTTCGCAGTTGGCCATCTTCTCACCATATCCTCCCATGGTGGAAAGCAGGGAGAAAGAGAGGGAGAGAGAGAGGACACAAGCTTCAGGGAGGTGCAGACATTCAGTCCACAGCAGATGTGGAGACTGGATCTGGGCCTAGTGAGGCTGGAGGCAGGTAGGCAAGTTAGGCTAGAGACAAATGCAGAAATCCCAGCAAGAAATCATGGTGGAATGAGCTAGGAATAGAGAGAGGGCCAATCTTTGAGATTTCGGATTTAGGAGGTAAAATCAGGATGTGGTGATTGATTGGCGTATGTGCAAGGAAGGAGGGAAGTGAGATGGAAAAGTCAAGAATGATGTCTGCGTTGCTTGTGCACCTGGCAGGTGGGGACACCCCTCGCTGGACTAGGAGACACTGGTGGTAGAATATCTGCTATTTGGTATGGGTGTCCTGCACAAACTTGTCTTGCAACTTCATCCAGGAATCCCTAAATTATGGCTGCTTTGCCTAGAGGAGGAGGAATAAAGGAGAAGAGCCTGTCAACTTGAGGATTCTGTTTTCCAGACGTCTAGTGGTGCATGTGGTGGAGCATCGGGAAAGGAGGAGAGGTGTGGATAGAGCAAAGGCATTCATCTCCCTGGGCCTCTCTGGACCTCCTACTCTCTCGACGGTTTGTCAAGGGCATATCATGTAAGGCCCTTAGAAGTAGCAGAGGGAGAAACTAATCTTAAAAGAGTTTACAATCTAGGAGATACGAAAACCAACCGCAGAAATAACTACAGGTGTATGTATAACATGTTAACAGCCATAAAAGACATGTTCTCAGAAAACTGAGGTCATAAATGGCATTGCTGATTAGGAAAATCAGAGAGCAAGAAGTTTTAGAGTTGGCCTAAAGGACAGGTGGAATTTCTACAGGCAGAAATGTAAGATCTGGGGTCCAGTGGAGATATTCCTGAAGGAGGAAGAAGCATGAAAAAAGATGGCAGCGTGCAGGTAATCACCAGCTCGCTCTTTCTGTTTAGGATATCTGCAGAGAGTGAGATATTAAGCTGGGATCCACGGAGCTTTGAGGAGTTTCAGAATTCCTTGAAATATTGTTCAAAATTATATATCTGTATGCATGCACAGTTTTTAGGAGAGAGGGTCCATAGCTCTTCTGCAATTCTCAGAAGGGTGTAGATACAAGAAAAGGCTAAAGACAGTACTTGAAATTTCCGAATTAGAATTTACAGGTAGGCTGGGGCATCTGTGCATGTGTGTTCTAACAAGCTCAGGAAGTGACTCAGTGCACACCTTGGAGCTCTAGACGGACCATGGAGGCCTTGAGATGCCAGCCTCAAGAGTTTCCCACCCTTTCCCACCCCTCGATTCTCCACCCCCATTTTACAAATAGTCATCAGTCTCCCCACAGTTTCCACTGCCCTGGGAGAAATAAGGCTTGGCAAGGTCAGAGAAACAGGAGGGAAATCAGAATATCATGCAGAGACTCTGGAGTCTCCTTCAGAGACAGGGTGGGTGGGAGCTGCTTTGCCCCAAGGTTAGCGAAGTCCGCACGGCCTGTCAGGTCCTCCGCCCCGCCGCAAGCCTATGGTCAAATTCTGGGAATTTCCGAAATCAGTCGGCCGGCCGGGCTGCGGTAGATTTTCCCGGACGCGAGCGTGCGGTGCCCGACGAGGCCGCTGGGTGGCGCCGCGCGGGACGCCGAGCGTGGGAAGCGCGGGCGCGCGGGCAGGCTGAGCTCACACGCCCGGGAAGCGGCCGCCGCGGAGCCGGCGTCCGCAGCGGCTGCGCATCTCGGGCCTGCAGCGGGGCGCTTGGGGGTGGCAGCGAGCAGGTTTGCGCAGTACCCCCGGAGGGAGGAAGGCCGCCGTGGTAAGAGCTGGGACCCGGGCAGGTGGGAGTGGGCACCTTGGGCCGGGCCTGCAGGGCGGTCCCCGAGCGTCCCGGGGTAGGGTGGGCTCCCTGGGGACGATGCCGGGGGGGCCCGGCCGCGCTCCGGTCGCGCCCCACCCCGGCTGCAGCGCGGCCTCTGAGCGCTGCTGGCCTCGCCGCGGGGGTGGGAGCGGTCGCGGCCTGGAGCAGCTCCCGGCGGGCCCCGGGCTTCTGGGGCCAGGGCCGGCTGGGCGCGGGGGTGAGTGAGCAGCCCCCGGCCCCTCAAGTGAGCCCCTGCCCCCTCCCCACCTTGCATTTCTCCTCTCCGCAGTGGGCGTGGTGCCCCTTTGCTGCAGAGGGGGCGCCAGGAGTTGAGGAAGGCTGCGGGGGAGAGCGCAGAGACAGGTGGTTGAGGGGGCGAGGGCTGGTGCGCCAAGGCTCGAGATATTAATGCGTATTTCTTTTTGCCCCCTTCTTCAGGGGGTGCGGAGGTCGGTGTGGAGGAGGCGGGGAGGCCAGAGGCATAGCTCGGGAGAGGGCAGGTGCTGCCGGAGATCACTTGGCTCTGTCTCTGTTCAGCTCCCCCCACCCCTCCCAAATTAATAAAGTGGGTGTGGTGATGACGGTGGAGGAGACTGATGAAGACCTGGGCCAAACTGCCCAGAACTGCCCCAGGCCGGCCGCCTAGTCCCTTGTGTATATCCGGGAGCCGCAGACTCTGAGCACCCTGCAGAGGGAGGGAGGGGGACTACCCCAGACGGAAGGAAGGAGGCACAGCCACTGAGGCAGCGCCAGAAATAGGGGCTGCGGGGCAGTCTCCAGGCTCACAGCCCAAGTTCATAGATGGTGAACTGGCCAGGAATGGTGGGAGATAGGGCCTGCAGGGAAATAGGGTAATTTCCTTAGGACCCCTTCCTTCCAGCTTTGCGACCATAGACCAAAATTTGGGATCTGGCATTTGTCAAATGTGCTTAATTCTTTTTTCTTTCCCTTTCGGTTTGTTTCGTTTTTTTTTTTTTTTTTTAGAGGAACAGCAAGTGACCGAGCAGAGGAGCGGCTGGCCCAGCCAATCCTGGAGCTGCGGCTGCAGCACTTGTTCCCCAAACAAGTGCTCCTTCATTCTGGTAGGAGGACAGAGAGGAGGGGGCTACCGGCCCACACCCCTCCTCTGCCCAGGACCCCTAGGCTGCTTCCCTGCGGGAAGGGCAGCTAGGCTGCCTCGGGCTGGAGGGGCAGAGGCTGCCATGGGCCAGGGTGGTGGTGGTTTTGCGGCCTCTCCCTGCTGCCCAGCGTGGGAAGAAGAGCACAGAGCCAGGCAAGTTTCTCTCTGTGTCCTCTGGGCTGGAAGGAGCAGGTACAGACAGGGCCGAGGCAGCCAGGGCCTGGTGCTGCTTTGGCATTGGTGGCAGGAGGGCTGAACCTCCAGCCCCTTGGGTTTGGTTCCACCCCTGGCCTGTCCCTGGCATTCAACAACTGCTCCTGTGTGCTTATTGGTGCCACCATGTTATATAACACTTATATAATCTTCCAGGGCGAGCACTGTGTCTCCGCTCTCAGGTCACGCAGACACGGTGTCCGTGTGGGAGGCAGGATCTGTGGAAGCCTGTGGGTGAACCTACTCCCCCCACCCCCAACCTGGCTCCTTCTCCTGATCTCAAGCATAGGAGGGGGGCTGGGAGAGCCAGGTGCCTCTCCACACCAGCTGTGTGGGGTGAGAAAGCGGTTGGCTGGGCAGTTTTCCTCACCTTCCTGTCTCACTAGTCCCAGTTGCCCTGTCTGGTAGAGCAGATGCCATCCTTGTGCTTTGAGACCAGCTCTTTGTTTTTGGGGACCCCTGGCATGGCAGGTGGTATGGCGAGATGACCCCCAGAATGTTGCCATGGAAGAACACGTGGTACTTAGGGTTGGATACAGAGAGACAGAAATTAGTTCTGCCTTTGAGGTTTTGAGCAAGGGTAACTAGAAGGATGGTGGTGGCATTATAAGAGATTTGGAGCAGGCCTAGAGGGTAGGGGATGGTCAAGGAAGGGTGTACAGGGAAGTAGATCAGACAGCAAAGATAAACATGGTGTTCTTTTACTGTACTCTCCACTGGGCTGTCCCTGGTTACCAGGGCAACAGAAGCAGTGATGAAAATCATGCCTTTCGTTCAGTGGAAAAATCTGGCTCCTCCTCCTGGTTCTTCCTTCTCTAAATCGCCTGTGACCCATTGGGAGGGTGATGTGTCCAAGGATCAGAGAGAGACCCTAGCATATTTTCGTCATGCTCCCCTTTCCCCAGTCTTTTCTACCATCTCCCCTCTTCCTGCATCCCCTGTCTCCCCTCAGGGCTCAGCAGTTGGCAGTTGCGTAGGAGTTGGAGTAGATGCAGGGGGAAGGGCATGGACGTCATCACAGGGCAGGGTGAGCAGAGCGTGGGCAGAGACATGGATGCCGGAATGCCTGGCACATGAGGAGGGTCCAGCATTGATGAGCTTGATGGAGCCAAGAGCCTGTTTTTGGGCTGGTAGGAGCTGAGGTGGGCCTGCGAGATGATGGAGGTCCTGCAGAGTTCAGCAGTCTCCGTTCGAGGGAGTAGGGAACTAGGAAGGGCCTGAGGTTTCTTGTGCAGTCGTCTTGTGATGAAAAATACCAAACCATACCTCTTTCTGAAGTTAAGGTTTTTGTTTAAGTTTTATCTTTCATCTTGTGATGAAAACTATGATTAATTCATTCAGCATTTATTGTGTGTCCTCCATATTAGGTGGGATTCTGGGAACCGGGAAGCCAAGGTGAATAGTGGTGGGCCTTGACCTTGAAGAGTGGTGAATAGAAGAAAGATGAGTTTATTGGGGAAGATCTGGCATCGTTGCAAGCCTGGAATATGGGGTCCCCAGCAGGAGACTAGCACCATACCAGACTGGAGGTGGTAGGTTAGGGTAGAGCCTGTGAAAATGAAGAAGAAGAGATCATTTGGAGTGCTGCTTTGGCTTGAGGACAAGACGTGGGGAAGAGAAAGTGCTGAAATTTTGAACCTTAGTGATTTATAGAAATAGAAACATTAGAGTTCAAACTTGTTTGGGGGAGTTGTGTTTGATTTTCTTTTAGACATGTTGCCTTCCAGATGATGACAGGGTATCCAAATAAAAATGTTTATGGTCAGACAAGTAAAGTATGCAGTGGAAGTCAGTTCTGGGAAAAGATTTGAAGGATATTGGATTATGAAGCTTGAAGGTGGGTAGAGATAAATCCCAGGGCCTGGGGCATTACCTGGAATTGAGTGAGGTTGTATTCCTTGTACTGGTTTATTATCCTAGGGCTTGCCCACACCCTGGACATTTCTGCCAATAAACACCCACATCTTCTACCAAACCATATCCCTTTTTGAAGTTAAGATTTTTGCTTAAGTTTTCCTATCCCTGGTAACTATGTCCAGGTATACCTGGAAACACACACATACACACACACACACACACACACACACACACACACACACACATATGCATACACACATACACGCACTTATATGCACTCATTTCCCCAAGTTCTTGTACCATTTGCTTATAGCTTGGGGATGTGCTGTAGAAATGTGCCACAAGTCTTTGGCCTCTGCCAGCATGCTGTTTATCACCTTGGAGGAGTAAGAGCACTGGACAGAGAGTCAGGCGACTTTTGCTAGCTACATGATCTTGGACATATCACCTCCTTTTCTAGGCCTAAGTGTCTATTCTAAGGGATCTAGCTTCTTCTAGCTCTGAAGCCCTCTGATTTGATGTCTGGAAAGCTTTATCCATCTTTGCCCAGGTTTCTGATGCAGACCAGTCTTTGTGAACAAATAGCCTAGATTTCTTAATGACTTGTGGGAGGCACTGGTAGGGATAGAGGCCTAGTCCTCAGAGTGGGTCCCTGTCTTCAGTGTGGATAGGAGCTCTCCAGGTGGATAGTGGCCTCTGTTCCTCTTTGAAGCATGGAAATACTGGAAGAGCAGGTTTTCCCAATGACCAGGGGTTGCAAACTGTGGCCATTGGGCTGGATTCCTGTTTTTGTAAATAAAATGTTACGGAAAGAGAGATATGCCCATTGTTTGTATATTGTGTGAGGCTGGTTTCATGCTACAATGGCATAGTTGAGTAATTGCAAGGGAAGGCCATATGCCCTGTAAGCCTAAAATATTTACTATCTTGCCCTTTAGTTTAAATATAAAAGCTTGCCAACCTCTGCTGTAGACTACCAGAAAAGTGCTTGGCCTTTTACTGTGGATGCTTATGATGGCTATTTCAGATTTCTAGGGTTCTTAAAGATTTTGCATTGGGCCTGCCTTTGTGATCCCATGAGAGGATGATCTGGTAGTTGAAATAGTAGATTATTAGAGTCAGCTCAAAAATAGTCATTCTGTATCTAGGAAAGTGCTTTCATTTTCAGCCTTTTCCCTGGAACCTGGAGGTCTGAGCCCCTCAGCAAGGCTGAGTTGTGGCCTTGGTTTGACAAGCTACTGTCCCTTTCTTTCTGATTTCCCAGGGCAGTGCAGAGGACACTGGACTGACCTAAGCCCAGTGTTGGGTGAGGAGAAGGGAGACTCATTGGTTCCGCCTGTCCTGTAGGATCTTTCCCCTGATACCCTGATATCTCTGTTGTTTCTGACCTCACTGGCACCTTTAGTGCCAAGGCCCTGGAGATGCCACTACAGAGAGAGCCTGCAACACAGCCTGAAATGTCTGCTTGAACTTGGCACTTAACCCTCTCTGTTGGAATAAGGCCCTGGGCTTGGCATTTGTGGGATGTGTGCCTGTGTTGGCTTGGGACCGGAATCAGCATTCATTATTCCTGCAGCCAACCTTTATGGAGTTTTTCTGTGTCCCAGTTTCTACCTTTTTGACCTGGTCCTCAATCTGGAGTCTTGCTGAAACTCCCAGCTAGAAACAGGGCTAAAGTTCTCACTGCCGTAGAATAGCAGCAGCCCAGCAGTTGGGGTAGTTCTGCACGGAGCTGAGATAGGAAGTGAGACACGTCAGTAGCAGGAGGAAACCACGTGCTGGAAGTAGCAGGGGAGAATGGAGGTGACTGAGGTTGATTGTCGTTGCAGTTGGTAGAGAGGAGGCCAGCAGTGGGAGGAGGGAGCAGACAATCCGTAATAGCAAAGAAGAGAGAAACCAAGCACACCTAGAGATGCTTTTAGCTGGTAATGGTAACTTTGGATCTAGGAGCATTCCTTCATAACTCCCTGACACAATTTCCCCAGAGGCTGTTAGGAAAGAAATTCCCTCTTAAATACCTTTTCATTTGTAGGGTTCAGAGTGACCCATACTATATAGTCTTAAACGTTGAGACGAGTGCACTGACTTGGAGAAATAAATATCATTTACCAGATATTTATTAAAGATCTGTTATACGTTGGGCACTGTGTGAAGTTCTGAGGATACAGAGGTAAATAAAAAATTTGGAGTTTGATCTGGAAGGTTTATGTGCAGTTGAACCAATTTTAATTATTTCTTCACTGGATCACATACTTGAAGAGAACATGTCTGTATCTGTCTTGTTCTTTGCTGTCACCCCAGTGCTGAGTACCGAGCTTGGCACACGATAGGCACTCAGGTATTTGTTGGTTGACCCATCCTTGTTTGATCTGTCCTGGAAGTGTGCTGGAGGGATTTGAGTGGTTAAATGGAGGAGGAGAGGTGCTTAACGCAGCAAGTGTGACAAATTTGGGGGAAGATGGTTGTACCCGGATATATGATGACGTGACTGCCTTTAAGGAAGAGAGAAGGGTTAAAGCTGTGTGAGCCTGGCAGAATTCATTGGTATTAGGGCCATGAGAAAGAACAAATATGACCTGGCTACAAAGGTGTGTTAGAGGTAGTCAGGATCATTGGATAAAGCAGAGGGCCCCCAGAATAGTGAAGAACTAACAAGCGGTAGAGAAGGGAAGAGTGGAAGGAGAGGAAACAGGGAGACCTCTCAGGCCTAGGATGAAAGCAGAAATGACACGAGTGAGTCTCAGATGAACACGATGGCAGGGATAAAGAAAATATGGGACTCTCAGCTCTGTTCTGCTGGTCTCCTCAGAAATGACCGTGTCCATGTATGACTAAAAATGCCTCTCAGTTATTTTCCAACACCGCAGCAAATACGAGGAAATTAACTGTGGTTTGACATTATGGTTACTCTTTTTTTTTCTTTCAAATTTGTCAATGGAAATTTTCATAGGTATGCAAAGATAGAGTTGGCATAATACACCTCAGTGTTCTGATCCCCTGGTTTTTCAGCATGTAATCAACACGTGGCTTTTCTCTTTTCTTTTATACCTTTGCCCATCTTTTCCTTACCCCCTTCTTGGATTATTTTGTAGCAAGTCCAAGTCCTAGATATTGTATTATTTTATCCATATATACTTTTTAATGGATCTCTAAAAGATAATATGTTTTAAAAATATTATTTAAATACATTATTTAATACAATACATTAAATATTTTAAAATATTATTTAGAAACATAATGTATTTAAAAACAACCCTAGCGGTATTATTACACCTTGGAAAAGCATAGTCATTCCTAAATATCACCTATCATCCAAATGGTGTTTAAATTTCCTTCATTGTCTCAATTTCTTTCTTCCTTTTTTTTTTTTTTTTTTTTTTTTTAATAAAAAACAACGGGCTGGTTTGAGTCAGGCTCCGAACAAGATCTCCATGTTTCATTTAGTTGATAACAAATCTCCAAGGTTCTGCTAATAAAGATTATGGCCATTCTTAAAAAAATTTATGTTTTGCAATTCTACCTTTTAGATTTACTTAGCTGCCCACCATTCTTCCCAGTCAGTTGCCATCCATAGCTTCCCGGGTTTTGTTAGACGATTTTTATGATTTTGAGCATTTTCCATAATCCCTCTTGCCTTTATGGTTTAATGTTGCTAGTCATTTTTCCCTTCCTTCAATAGATATTTCTTGTGAGCCTGCTCTGTTCCAGGTGCTGTACTGGACACTGGGCCTAACACCTGTGAAAAGGACAGACAGGGCCCCACTCCTGGAGCTTACAGTTCGACCACAGGAGAGCTGCTGCTTGGCAGTTTGCCCTGTGCATTCACCCCAGCTGAGCGGTGTGACCATGACTGTCACTTCTGTGCAGGCAGACCTGCCATTTTAGAGCTTGGGGTTCATGCTCTCATGCTGTCATTTTATGTGGTTGATAAAGGTGCCCCTAGAATGTTCAAAAAGCCAGGCATGGCTTCTGTGGCAGGCCTCTGTCTCATAGCCCTCATAGCCTTGCGACCCAGCGTTCTAACTGGTGCTGCTTGGGCTTTGCGTGTATCCATGTAACACTTTTGGGCTTGAGTGTGTGTATCTCTGAAAGTTAAGATGGAGAACTTCCTGAATTGATGGATTGTAGAGAGGCTAAACGAACACGTTGAAAGCGGGGTGGGGGTGGGGCTCTGAATTGTTACAGGGCTTGGCAAACGCCAAGTGTTGCTAATATGTTTGAGCAAATTGGATGTTTCTGTGGCTTTGCAGACTACAGGTTGATTTGGGGCTTTTGCATGTTCCAATTAGGCTACCTGCCAGCCTTTCAAATGACAGGCCCACTTTCTTGATTTGCTGTTCGTTGCTGAGCAGTATATATTGAGTATTGGGTAGCCAGTCTGCCTCTCTAGCCAAATATGATGGTATAATCCAGGTGTGTCTCAACTTTTAACTGATTTATATTTCTTTATGTAAGTAAATAATCAGACTCTGATCCCTGTGATGCTCTGATTTTGAGAATGGTCCATGATTATTCTTATATTTTTGCATTTTCAGTTCAAATGCAACTGTGTTGTAGTTCCGAGATTATAGTATCTCAGCCTTTAAAAAAAATCTTAGTTATTAAAAGTGTATTTTCAGATACAAAACCTAGTATGCTTATGTTGCATATCTCCTTTTCACTGAAGGCTACATGTTCAGCATCTGATGATATGTTTT